ACATAGATGAGTGCCATGTCCACTCAGTGTGAGTCCACGACGCACAAGCACAGAAGCACTTTAATATTTTTGTTAGTCTATCTTTCATTTTTTTTTATTAAAATAAAATTAGTACACTTAGGCCAATAAAGGGCTGAGTGCTGCATTTCTCTTAAAATATATTCACGTGCTTTGGGGCCGTTAGAGTTATTGTGAAAAGAAAATATATTGCTTTCAAATTAAGACGATTAAGCATTTAAACACTTATTAGTATACATTTTGATTTAATATATTACATATTTTTTTTAATATAAAATTATAAATAAATAAAGTTAAAAGTATAATCTTGAATATAGGATATAAGAATTGACTGAACCGAATTGTATTTATATTATATTTTAGTAGTTGAATAAAAAAATATTTTGAATGTGTACTAATTATTTTTTTAAAATCTTTTTTAAGAGCACAAGAATTGATGCTTCACATGTGTTGTAACTTTGAGTAGGACTTGTTGAAAGTTTGGAATCTCTGGATTTACTACTGTGCTCTTAAACTAATGGTGGATAAAAGTGAGCTTTCCAAGCTTCTGGTTATGACTTCGGTTCGACTCGCTTCTTCAATACATACCCTTTACTAACATTAAAAATGTACGCGTTCTGTAAATCATGAAGAATTTTCTCAACACTAGACGGATGGACACACAGAGCAAATGGATATATCCCGAAGAAATAAGAATTATAACGGTTAATTGTGTAGCATATGTTAATCTAATAAGTATATCCACATATAATATTTGAGACAGCTCTTGAAGGTAATGTTGTTAAAGACAACCTTAATGCAATCCTGACTTCCTCACCTTGCGTCAAGACAATTTTGAGGCTGTTGCTCGCCTCCAATGGAGAAAATCACCATATGCACAACCTACCCTCCACCTCAACAAGACTTAATTTAAGATATAAATTGTGTGCTAGACTATGAAACCGAGAAACAATTAGTTCACATATGGTAGTAGAGGAAGAGAAGAGAGTTAGTAGCTCCTCCTTCTTAAGTTAGAGGTTTCCATAGAATTTAATACTCATTAGTTTGTTTAAAATTACGTAAAAATATGATTAATTTAACAAACAAATGAAGGATTAACTTGACTTGAGAAAGCTAGTTAATTAATTTAGAGAAATCCGTTATCACATGTAATAACACTCAACAATTTGATAATTCAGAATTTATATTGATTGATTATGGTGAAGTCAATGCCTTAGTACCTCATATCTTGATTAACTTTATTTTAATTGCTATTTTCTTCTTTATTAAAGTTTATTCCCCTTTTTGATTGTTCAAATAAATTAGATTAATTATTTTGATACTTAATTAGACACAATCCTTATAGCTTCGACACTCTTCTCATCATTATATTACTTGAAGCGATTAGTACACTCATTAGGATGATTTTAGTACATCAAACAGCTTAGTCTAAGAGTCATGTTCCCCGCACAAAAATTAAAACCTAATTACAAAAGAGATAATTCTATGTTATTTCTTACTTTACTCATTTTTATATTATATAATTTAAATTTTTTATTTTTTATTTTTAATAAAAAAATTATTATTAAATTATTTAAGTTATTATTCATGGGCTAATTATAGATCTGGCTTGTACCCTAAACATTGCATCAATTGTGCTAGTCCTGTACCGGATTTAATTGAAAACTTCATGATATTCCAGAGGGTGTTGGATATATCAGTAAATTCACATAGATTGCAGTATTATGTGATTGGATAGATGTAATAGGGGGTTAGAGTGGTCATAGGTTAATTATAGATCAGGCTTGCTCCCTAAACATTGCATCAATTGTGCTGGGTGGACCTGTACCTTATTTAACTAAAAACTTTGTGATATTTCCAGGGGGGTTTGGATATATCTGTAAATTCATAAATATTAACTCATTTACTCAGTTGATATTACATTTTTTGTTTCCTAATTTGTTGCTCTTCCACAGTTTATCTTTTTCCATCTTTTGACTCTTTTACTTGTATGTGGTTTTGGAATAAAGGCAAATACACGTCAACACATGTCAATGTTCAACAAGATCTAAAAGACGTCAAGTACTGGCAGGTTCTAAATTCTATTTTGTTGGTGTCCGTCTATGTTTATTATTGTTTTTAAAAGTAATAAATAATTTAGTGTTTCTTAATTTTGCATTAGGTGCACACTCTCTTGAAAGGATTGGAAAAAATAGCTGCTAGTGCAGATATTCCAATGTTGGTATGTGGGGATTTCAATTCTGTTCCTGGGAGGTATGTACATAATGTTACACTTTATGGATATTCAAGTCCATTTCACTTTGTATTAGCCTTCTGTATTATTAAAGTTATTGTTCGGTTACTTCTATACAGTGCTCTGCATGCACTTCTTGCCATGGGAAAGATAGACCCAATGCATCCAGATTTAGTGGTAGATCCTTTTTGGATTTTTCGTCCTCATAGCAAGTTGGCACATCAGCTGCCACTAGTAACGTTACTTACCTTATTAGATGTTTCTCCAAAGTTTTTGGGTTAACACCTGCTACTTCTTTTAAAGGGATTCTGCCTCTTGACAAAGTAATTTTCAACAGATTAGTGCCTACTCATCCCTTGCAAGGGTGGGTGTAGGTCTCAGATTGGAATAGCAAAGGAGAATGGATCCCTCAACAAATGAACCCTTATTCACAAATTGCACTGGAGATTTTATTGGAACTCTAGATTACATATTTTACATAGGTGAATTTCTTTGCATTTGAGTCTCTTAACAAATAATGTACATCCAGCCTCTTGTGGTTGCTGTTCCCTCTCTGTTATTCATACTTATATATAGAATTGTCTATACTTTCAGCTGATTCTCTTGCAGTTGAGTCCTTATTGGAACTCTTGGATGAGAATAGCTTAAGGAAAGACACAGCTCTTCTTTCTCCAGAGTGGTCCTTAGATCATATAGCTATTTTTGCTAAATTTCGTTGCATGCTTAGGCTTAGATGCTGACACTCCAGGTGTGCTTTTAACTGAGTCAATGCGTGCTATTTTATCAAAAGCCGTATGATAAGAAGTTTCTATATGTGTTTGAGATAGAACATCATGGCTATTTCTCAAGTTGACTGACTATTACTTGTGGTTCTCAAATGCCTGGAGGTTCAAGTTTCACCTTGTTGTCTTCAGTAAAAGACAATTGTTCTAGTCTCTCTAATCATTAACATATCTTATTACTGGTTTCAGGTCTGGAGACGCCCTAGAAATGGGGAAAGAAGAAGCTGATAATACAAATACATTATTGCAAAAAGGGTAGATGATCCACCCTGTGTTCTTACTCAAAGGATTGGTGATAGGATCCTAGCAATGATCTGCTTTGTATAATGGCGCCTTTGTTTCATAAGAAAATCGTGGTTGTGCCCTTTTTCAACTCCTTTTTCCCTTGCGGATAGAAATGTCCAATGGCTCAGTATAATTAGTTATTGTCTTGAACTCTAGTTATTTCTGGAAAGTAAATGGTTAGTGGCATTGCAACTGATTGCATGTCCCTCTTTCCATCTTTGGTCTTATTTTTTTTTTCCCCTTTTTCTTGATTGAGGAGTAAAAATTAAGTTCTTATGCGTACTTTCTTCTTTCTCTCTCCCTCTCTCTTTTTTTTTTCTTGTGCCTTGTTTCTTGTTAATGATTGCAACATTACAACATTCCAACGCTTGGTTGTTGTATTACAAACTCCTATTCAACAAACAACATTTTCAATTTGTGGTACAATGAAACTCGAAAGAGAAAGAAACTGAAAAACAAATGAAGAACATGAATCATGGACTGTTCGATTACCTGCAGATGTGTTCTTCTAACATTCTTATATCCCCTTACTTCCCCAAATATGTTTTCTACATTCCCAGTCGATAACATACTCGCATCCTGATTTTGTACATTTGAAGAATACTTCTTTACAATACTTGCCACAAACACTGCATTTAAGATAGTCATGGTAATAATCCTTCTTCACAAAAGTGAGAGGGTGCTCATGAAAATCATCCTTCCAAATCAATCCGAGCTTCAGAAATGGGTACTTGCCAAGAGCACACAAGAAATGAGTAGAATTATCACAGACTCCACAATAATAAAACCATTCATTTGGATCTCTTGATTCTTCACATATATCACAGACAATTTGATCCGAATGACGATGAATATCATCGCAGTAAGTGAGTAACAAAGGATGTTCATCATTCTTGTACCGGGCTGTGTTCAGCAACACAAGATGTGTGTAATCCAAGGTGAAATGATCACATTCCTTGCGTCTGCATATAAAGGCCCCTTTCTTCTGATGACCATCATCACAAATATTGCATTTGAAAATAAATTTGTGATCAAAGAAGAGCCGGTGCTTATGTCCTTCAGTGATGAGGGTGTCGGGAATTAGAAAACATGAAATACAGGAACTTGAACCACCTCCATCGTTCTGGTAGACAAGCCCGCTGTTGTAAAAACAACAAAAGCGACATCGGTCATATACGTAAGATTTAAGAGTAAAGGTGTCCTTAAAAGCCCAATGCCGTGTCTTTCTTGGTAACTCAGCACAACGCTTGTGAAGGATGTAATTGCAATCAGCACAATAGTAAAATGAAGTTGAGATGGACCTCCCGCAACCGTCACAATATTTTTCAGCTTTAACATCATTACAAAGTATTAATTTGCATTGATGGTCGAAGTGTTCAATCTCTGTGGCTATTACTTCCTCTCCAATTTTCTTTTCCTTGAGAACACGAGTAATGGAAGGCTCTCCAATTAACCACCCCAAGTTTATTTGATTGAGATTTTGATTTTCATCTGTCACCTCATACTCTTGGATGAAAATATCTTTGTCCATTGCACAATCCACATGAACAAAGTAATCACAACTTGGACAATGATAACACCCGTACTCTGTATTGATTTCACTCTGACAAATTCTGCAACCCCTCTCTTTGACTTGATTTTCTTTGAAGAAATAAATATGGGAAATTGGATGATCATGCCTTGTTATCATGATGTTCCGTGGCAGTGAAATGCAATCCTTATGAACTGCAATGTCACATTCAGTGCATACATAAGGAATGCAGTACTTCCCATCTGTACCACAAGCATCACAAATGAAAGAGGATGATGGTCTTGGAGCTATGGTAAATGGATGCTCATGACGCTTATTTTCTATCACTTTATGGTCTGAGAAAATATACTTGATCATAATGCCAAACTCACAATGAGAACAACAATAAATGAATCCCTTGTAAGCTTTGGAGCATAAATGGCAAGAACATCTCTCTGGATGAGGTGGAGGGTTGGGTAGAAGAGTAAGAGAGTGTTTGCGATGACTAGGGTGGTTAATCTCAAGGGGTAACTCAAAGCATTTCTGATGAAGGAAAAACTCACAATCAAAACAACAATAAACAGGACCTGATATGGGCTCTTCACATGCAGAGCAAGATTGATCTTGGGGTTCAATATAGTGGTTTTCAATGAAGAAGAGTGAATGTTGATGGTAAAAATGTATCAGTTTTGGGAAGTCTCCATCAATTAAGTTAGGAAGTAAAGCACATCTAATATCAAGATCAAATTCACAAGAAGAACAATGGTAAACAAATACTTCGTCACCTGATTTGTATGATTTTTCACAAGAATCGCAAGCCCAATAATTAGAATCGGGGTAGTTTGGCCCCTTGTCACGAAGAATGAGGGGATGGCTCGTGTGAAAGGGATGATTAATCTCCATTGGTAGCTCAGCACAAGACTTATGAAGACAAAAGTCACACTCTGAGCAGTTGTAGCTGGAACCCTCTACCCGCTCCTGACATGCTGAGCAGTAGTAAATTGTACCAATCGAATCCATCTCCTGATCCTCCACCAGGACCAAAGGATGGGGATGACTAAAATGATTAAGCTTCTTCATATCTCAAGAGAAGATACTGATGAGTGTACGTAAGGGAGGGAGGGAGGAGAGAGCAGAGCGCTTATTAAACAAATTTGTGTTTTTAGTTTGATTTGATTTTGAAGGAGATAATAGATAAGACAGCAGCAGCAGCACATGATCAGAATTGCAAGATGATGAGTACAAACATCACAGTTGGTTCCTACCCCCGTGATTCACGCGTTAACGGTTTCTTTTTTACTATCTCTGTGAAATCACTTTAATGATTCCCGCCTTTTGAATATTTAAGTGTGTAAAAAGACAATTTTACCCAAAAAAAGGCCTGAAAAAGGAATTGTGGAGATTAGGAAAATACAATAAAAAAAATTATATCCATTTTAAGTGAAATACCCCTTAACTAGGGGTAATTGCGATTTGGATGTATGGAATTGTGATTATTTTTTATTTAATTTAATCTAATTTAAAAAAATATCAAACTAATTCAATCTAGTTAACATACTATAATTAAATCAATTAATTATTATTGGATTGGATCAAATTTGATTAATTAATTTTGTCCAAAAAACATTTTTGAGAGTTTGAGTATATTACTTTTCCTTTCTTGAATTTCTATCATATAAAAACAAAAGTAAAACCAAGTAAATTTATAATAAATGGAAGTATTTTATAATACAATTTTAGGATTAGGATAAATAAATGATGAGAATACAAGAGTTGGAAAAAAAATCTCTTTTTTAATTAATTCTTTCAATATTGATTCAAATCGGATGGTCATAGAGTGAAATCACAAATCAAATCAATTTAATTGATTTTTAATATTTTATTCAAATTAATTCAATTAAATAACAATTTTAATCAATTTTTAATTAGATTAGTTTCGATTGAGTTGAATTAATCGAATTGGGTTGAATATAAACATAGTCACTCTTAGCATTCTCTAAATTTTGTTGTTTAAGTATGATCAAGAGTTTGGCTAATTTATTATTTATTAATTTAAAATTTTTAATTTAAAATTAAAATAAAAAATTTGAATTCTTATACATTTAAGCAACCGACCATTTTAATGTACAAAAAAATTTATTTAACTTTTTTTTTATTGTACCCTATAAAGTTGAAAATTCTACATCTTTAAATAAAAAAAAAGGGACAAATTTCTTATTTTATTTGATCATTTTCTCATAATCCAAGAGGATGTTTGCTCTATATATTTGAAAGCTATATTTATCATATATATTGCGGGTTTTGTGCCCACCCCTAGGGAAGAGTATTTCAAGTCCAATTTACACTATAAATTAGTTAGAGAAAGACTTTCTGTCTCCAACAAAGACCCATATATCCCGCATTTTCACATGTTTAGAGCAGATGCTGTGAAAGGAAAATATTGTTTTTGGTGAAGCATCTCTTAGACTATGCATTTTTTAAGAGTACAACTGAACAACTGACCTTGATATACATAATTAAACATAGATGAGTGCCATGTCCACTCAGTGTGAGTCCACGACGCCCAAGCACAGAAGCACTTTAATATTTTTGTTAGTCTATCTTTCATTTTTTTTATTAAAATAAAATTAGTACACTTAGGCCAATAGAGGGCTGAGTGCTGCATTTCTCTTAAAATATATTCACGTGCTTTGGGGCCGTTAGAGACTTAGAGTCATTGTGAAAAGAAAATATATTGCTTTCAAATTAAGACGATTAAGCATTTAAACACTTATTAGTATACACTTTGATTTAATATATTACATAATATTTTTTAGTATAAAATTATAAATAAATAAATTTAAAAGTATAATCTTGAATATATGATATAAAAATTGAGTGAACCGAATTATATTTATATTATATTTTAGTAGCTGAATAAAAAAATATTTTGAATGTGTACTAATAATGTTTTTAAAATTTTTTTTAAGAGCACAAGAATTGATGCTTCACATGTGTTGTAACTTTGAGTAGGATTTGTTGAAAGTTTGGAATCTCTGGATTTACTACTGTGCTCTTAAACTAATGGTGGATAAAAGTGAGCTTTCCAAGCTTCTGGTTATGACTTCGGTTCGACTCGCTTCTTCAATACATACCCTTTACTAACATTAAAAATGTACGCGTTCTGTATATCATGAAGAATTTTCTCAACACTAGACGGATGGACACACACAGCAAATGGATATATCCCGAAGAAATAAGAATTATAACGGTTAATTGTGTAGCATATGTTAATCTAGTAAGTATATCCACATATAATATTTGAGACAGCTCTTGAAGGTAATGTTGTTAAAGACAACCTTAATGCAATCCTGACTTCCTCACCTTGCGTCAAGACAATTTTGAGGCTGTTGCTCGCCTCCAATAGAGAAAATCACCATATGCACAACCTACCCTCCACCTCAACAAGACTTAACAATAGATGTCATCATTTTCCATTTATTTATAATTAAGTACTCTTGAAGTACTGAAACTTTCTACACCTTAAAATTAATTCATCTCAAAACAATTTTAATATGCACTTTCCACATTAATTTAATACATTTAAAAAAAATTTATTATGTACTAACCCTAAAATATATTTGAACCCTATCGTCATTGCTTAAGTCATTTGACAATAATATTTTTATTGTTTATCATAATTTATAAGTTTTTAGACTTGCCCAACAATTGACCTCCCCTAAATATGTTCATCTCTTGGACGGTACTGGCTTATTAATTTTGGAGTATATAGGATTAGAGAATATATCTTCTTGGTTCCCAAAATGCTC